GCCAGACAGAGAGAGACAGAGAGATAGAAAGCGAGAAATCACCCCCCAGGGGGGATGGCCACGCTACAATCCCTTCTCCTCCATTCTCTTCTCGGGATCTTGGGCACGCACGCACACGCGCCCGGCGTGAGTTTTAAGCCACCGGGTCTGGGACACGAACCGCAGTCTACTACGTGGGAGTCCAGCGACATAGCCATTATGCTAACTGCTGGTCCCTAGGAGATTATTTTATTCACCATTTGAAGTGGTGCTGACATATGCAGCCTTTGAGATGAAATCATTCTGTTCCAACTTTCACTCTTCTTTCCTTTATGAGTTTTAAGTAGTTTAAGAATTCTTTTTGTGGGACCAGCAGTTGGCGTAATGGCTATGTCGCTGGACTCCCATGTAGTCGACCGTGGTTTGAGTCCTGGGCCCAGAGACTTAAACTCACGCTGGGCATGTGTGTGTGTGTGTCCCCAAGATCCCAAGAGGAGAATGGAGAAGAAGGGATTGCAGCGTGGCCATCCTCTCTGGGGGGTATGTGATTTCTCGTTCTCTGTCTCTCTGTCTGTCTCTCTCTCTCTCTCTCTCTGGTGAACTCATGCGCCCTTTAGCAAAGACCTCTCAAAAAAAAAAAGAAATAAAGTAAAAGAAAAAAAAACAAAGACCACAACAACAAAGAATTCTTTTGGGGGCTGGCAGGTGGCATGGTAGTTTAGTTGCTGGACTAATGGCCAACTACAGTTCATGTCCTGGACCAGCAGCTGCAAAATTACAACAAACAAATAAATAAATGTTAAAGAAAAATTTATTTTTATCATCTTTATTTTGTCTGATTTTTTTTTTAAAAGATACTTTAAAGAATTATTTTATTTATTTACTTATGTTAATTTGACCAGAGAGGGACAGAGTGAGAGAGAACGTGAGAAAGCAAACTGCTAGATCCGGGACTCAAACCGCCATCAGCCATGTGGGAGTCCAGCGCCCTTAACCACCAGGCCACCTGCTGGTTCCCTGATTTTCTTTTTGTGTTTTTTTTTTGGAGAGATTTTTCACTATAGGACGCGTGCGCTCGCCAGACAGACAGAGAGAGACATTAGAGACAGAAAGCGAGAAATCACCCCCCACGGGGGATGGTCACGCCGCAATCCCTTCTCCTCCATTCTCCTCTTGGGATCTTGGGCACGCACGCACACGCGCCTGGCGTGAGTTTTAAGTCACCGGGTTCGGGACGCGAACCGCGGTCTACTACGTGGGAGTCCAGTGACATAGCCATTATGCTAACTGCTGGTTCCCTCTTTTTGTGTTTTTAAAAAAATTTTTAGAACTATTTAATTTTATTTATTATTGTTATTATTCAGTTTAACCAGAGAGAAGAAGAGAGGCAGAGTGAGAAAGCAAGCCACCAGGTCCAGGACCTCTGAACCATGGTCAACCATGTTCAGGGAGTCTAGTGCCTCCACCACCACACCACCTGCCGACCCCTCCAATTTTAATTGCCAGCAGGTACTTGTGTTTACCGAAAAAAAGAGAGAGAAGGAAATCATCACTGAATGGGGCATGGGTGTACCATAATCCTTTTTCCTGCATTTCTTCTCTTTGTTAGGATTTGGGGCACATAACGTGCCTGATATGTTTTTCAAGCTGCCAGAACAGGGATTTGAACTTTAGTTGGTCATATGGGATCCAGCTTCCTAAGCCCAGCACCTAATCTCTGTGCCATGAGGCTGGCCCAGCTATACCTGATTTTAAGCAGGACTGACTCCTTTAAATTCCTTATGTATCTCCTGGATACTTAGGGTTGGGCACATGGTGGGTAGTCTGCTCTTATCACTAGTAATGATTTTGCTAACAGATGCAAGTTTAAGTGGAAGCCTAAGTAGGATGGCATAGATGGTATGAGAAAGGTTCTGGTTCCAGACCAAAGATTTGATTTTGATCAGCCTGAAATACTGGGCCTGTGATTCTGGCTGAATGGCTGGGTAGCATATCACAGCATGGCAAGACCCTGTCAGTGGGAGCCTTTCCCTTTTTCCTCTCTCCCTTTCCTCAAGAAATGAGTGACCAACAGGTCGCCTGGTGGTTAAGGTGCTGGGTAATCCCACGTATGGCCGCCCATGGTTCAAGTCCTGGACCTGGTGACTTGCTTTCTCTCTCTCTCTCTTTCTCTTTCTCTCTGGCCAAATTAAAATGAATGAATAATTAAAATTAAATCTTTAAAAACAACAAAATGAAAACTTAGAAATACTCAAATTTAGGTGGATGAAGGCAGCATGGACTTCTGGGTTTATAATGAATTTTCTTTATGAACACAAGGGGGTGCTCTTTAACCATCAATGACTTGTTAAAAAAAGTTCATTGCCCTATTTTAAAATCTTAGTAGGAACGTGAGTAGGAAGCCTACATTAGGCAAGTTGCTACAGGAGTAATAATACAGTGAGTTGTAGATATTTTTGCTGTCATTTAAAATGGAAAAATTCATTGTCTTAGAGATTTATGTTCCCCCAAAATTCAATAATTAAAAAAAAATTATTTCTAGGTATCTCCAGAAGATCCTGGAGCTCAGTTCCTGATTCGTACTGGGTCCATTGGCCGAAATAGGGCTGAAGCCTCTTTGGAGCGAGCCCAGAATCTCAACCCCATGGTGGATGTGAAGGTGGACACTGAAGATATAGAGAAGAAATCTGAATCGTTTTTCACTCAGTTTGATGCTGTAAGTATTTTAGAGGTTGTAAAATCTGCTATGGGGAATAGGCAAATTAAGGTACTAGTTTTATGTATACTAAGTATATTAGAGAATTCAAATCTCAAATTATTTGCTTTTTCCCAGTACATTTCTAACCTGTTCTTTTTTTAAGTTAATTTTATTTCTTCATTTGTTTATTTTAATTTGAGCAGAGAGACAGACAGAGAGAGGGAGAGGGAAAATGAGAAAGCAAACCACCAGGTCCGGTGGGACCATGGTCAGCCATGTGGGAGTGTCCAGTGCCTTAACCACAACACCATCTGCTGCTCCCCAAGATATTCTGTTTTTTTGTTTGTTTGTTTTAAGAGATTTTTACTATAGAGTGCATGCACTCACCGGAGAGACAGAGAGAGATAGAAGCGAGATATCATCCCCCCCTTCCCAGAGGGGATGGCCATGCCGCAATTCCTTCTCCATTCTCCTCTTTGGATCTTGGACATGCATGCACACATGCCCAGCTTGAGATTAAGTTGGCAGGTCTAAGACTTAAACTGTAGTCTACTACGTGGGAGTCCAGCAACACAACCATTATGCCAACTGCTGGGCCCAAGATATTCTGTTCTTGGGACCAGCAGTTAGCGTAATGGCTATGTCGCTGAACTCCCACATAGTTGGCTGCGGTTCGAGTCCTAGACCCGGTGGCTTAAACTCACGCCGGGCGTGTGTGTGTGCATGCCCAAGATCCTGAGAGGAGAATGGAGGAGAAGGGATTGCTATGTGGCCCCCC